GTCAATCTGTTTCCTCACTTCCCCAGGTGGGTATTGTAGTTTTAAGAATGCTTGATAAAGATCTTGTAGGTGTTTGTCTCTATCTGAGGGATTGGAGCAAATGCGGTTGTATCTTAGGGCTTGGTTGTAGACAATGGATTGTGTGATGTGTCCTGGATGGAAGCTGGAGGCATGTAGGTAAGTATAGTGGTCAGTAGGTTTCCAGAATAAGGTGGTGTTTATGTGGCTGGCTCACTGCAAAAGCAATTTTCCCTCTCTGGGTATTGACACCTCCTTCTCAGTTATTGAGAGTGGATCACATCCACCCTGACTGAATTGACCCTGTCAACACTGGTTCTCTACTTGTAAGGTAACTCCCTTCTCTTCATGTGCCAGTATATTTATGCCTGTATCTGTAATTTTCACTCCTTGCATCTGAAGAAGTGGGTTTTTTTACTCTCAAAAGCTTATGCCCAAATAAATCTGTTAGTCTTAAAGGTGCCACCAGACCCTTCTTTATCTTTAGATAGGTTTTTCCCTCAAAAAAATCCAATTTAATTTAAAAAAATCCAATTTTTTTTTTTATCCACCCTGATTTGAAGCTAAAATTTTGAGTCAAGACCTCCTGCAAGCCCTCTGTGCCTGGAGCACTCAAGTGAAGGAAATGGGATTTCCCCAGGTGGAGGTCTGGTCTTCTCTGAGGTAGAGAGATATAGGAAATCCAGTCCAGATGGTAAGAGAAGGCATTTCCACCAAGAGCAATGAGGTAGTGCCAGTGCTAGGCAACTGAAAGGAGCAAGGAGGGAAGAAGGAGGAGGACATAAGTCAGGATATGACCTCCATATATGTGACTCCAATCTCTAGGGCTTTCCATCCTGTTGTGGTATTTGTTTGTTTTTAATATTTTTTTTAATGACTTAAAAATAATCATCATGACTGGTGAAATATCAGGGCAGAAGCTGTTTCATATGCAAATCCCAGCTTCCTTTTCAAAGGTCTTGTCCTCATTTCCTAGGGATCATCATCGGTCATTCAGACGTGGGCTTGGCATACAACTATAAAATGGTCCTTCATGAAAGGAGAAATTGAAATAGTTGCCAAAGATTCCAGCTTTGCTGGTGTTTCCTCTAACTGCCTAGGGCAGGAGTCCTTAGATAACTGTTAGAAAAAAACAAACCACAAATGATCACTTTGTAAACACAGTTACACGTTTTGGGATGTGCCATTATGCTGTGTACTGCTAGAGCAGGGATTCCCAAACCGTGGTAGGTGAGCTTGATGTTCCATCCATTCACTTCACAGCCATTGTTTAAGAAAGTGGTATATGAACCAATGAACTTTGGAAGCAGCTGCACTAGAGCTTGTTTCATAGTAATAATACCATCTAGCATCGCACTATAGCTGAAGGCATCTGCTCTTCAACCTTGTGCCTCATAACGCAACCTAGGAATTTGGAATAATCTCACCCCTTGTTGAGTGCTTGTCTTCCTGTGAACACCCTATAATAAAAGTTCTGGGGTGAAATCCTGGCCCCATTAATGTCAAAGGGAGCATGCTATTGACTTCAGTGGGGCAGATTTCATCAGTGATCTCAAAAGGGATCTCATTGGGAAGTTGCTCTCATTCTGGAAACATAGCATTTGAATTTAATTCTCTTCGCATTTAATCTTAATTCTTACATGCTGGGATAGGCATGATCCAGGTTTTTCAGCCACATGCCTCATCTCCTTGTTACCCTTTACTTTCTTGTTCTCTGCTTGCCTCTGGGTTGACCTATGAGCAGCTCATTGCTGAATGCCAGAATGGTGACATCTTAGCCTGTTCTCACCACCTTCGCCCATTTCCTGTTCCTGTCTCCCCTTTTCCCCATCAGTTTCAATTCCTTTCATTTGATTTGTTTAAAAAGTGTCTGCCCAGAGCTCTAGGTGCACACACAATCCATGGTCTGTTATGCGGGAGGTCATATGATCATATGAACCCCTATTAATCTTGTTAGCAAACTACAAATTGGCACCAGTGTCTATAGTTAAAACTCACCTCCCCAAATTAAGACTCTCCTTAAAGAAAGAGGCAGTGTCTAAGGGAGGTAGGACCTAAAGCATGATGTAAGTTTTTATCAGCTAAAACTGACAACTTAGTTTATACAGACTACGTAGGTCAGGTGTATCGTGTCCCCTGTGGGAAATGCTGCTAAGTAAATAGGTTGCTCCATTCTGAACCAGCTGAAGATTCTAAGGCTATGTCTACACTACGCACCTTACAACGGTGAGGTGCGCTGTGTGGTCGCTCTTTATCGCCGGGAGAGCGCTCTCTCAGCTACAAAATAAAACCACCTCTAATGAGGGGTGGTAGCTTCGTCGCTGGGAGCGCGGCTCCCACCGACGAAGCGCTGTCCACACCGGCGCTTTTTGTCACAAAAACTTTTGTCGTGCGGGGTGTGTTTTTTTCACACCCCTAAGCAACAATTTTTTAGCAACGAAAGTGCCATTGTAGACATAGCCTAAATGTTCTTCAGGTTTAAACCCAAGTACAGCAAGTTGCAGTAACTTAGTCTGAAGGTGACCAAGCTATGGCTCTCTGTAGCAAGATCCATGTGAGGAATGAAAAGGTTGCAACCTCAGGCTAAATGCAGAGAAATAAACATACTTTGGCAACTGCTGGTACTTGGGCATCCTAAAGAAATTAGAGATCCAACTTATCCTCCATGTTGTGAACCTGAATAACAAAATATGGGTAAATTCTCTCAACTAAGGATGCCGATTATAGCCTCTGCCATTTCTTCTTGCTGTTTTCCCCAACATTTCCTAATAATTTCTTCTTGTTTGTGTTTGGATCCAACTTTGATGTGAAATACAACTCTCGATAACACACTAACAAACTGAAATTTGTTTTAATCTTTTCCTTTTCCAGGAGATGGTTACAGAACTGTGCTCAGGGCCTTGTATAGCGCTAGAGATCAGGCAGCTTGATCCTCAAAAAGTATTCAGAGACTTCTGTGGGCCTTCTGATCCTGTAAGTTACTTGTTTAAAGAGAAATATTTGAAAGGTGATATTCTGTATGTCAAACTTAAACATTGCAGCATTGCTCTGTTACTGTGTATGTGTTTTTCACTTTCCTTTGAAACATTTAGCCATTGGCCACTGCTTGAGGCCAGATACTAGACTAGGTGGATCAGTGGTCTCAAACTGTAGGTAATCCACCGATCCTAGGTAAACAAAGTAATAAAATTACCAAAAGAATACTTATGTGAAAATACAGTGTCAAGATAAGTCATCTTGGTAATTGTTTTCATCAATTTTCACTGGATGGCAAAGCACTACAACAGTTAACAAAAAAAATGGGCTGATTCTCCTTTCAGGCCAGAGTAAATCAGTGTTACTCCACTGAAGTCTGTGGCAATCCCCTGGTATCTTAACTGGTGAGAGGAGACTCTCGGGGTATGTCTACACTGCAACGTAAGCCCATGCTTGAGCCTGGGCTCAAGCCTAACCCTCCTTGTGTCTACACTGCAATTGCACTAATCCAGGGCTTGGTCCCCGGACTCTGCAGGGCTAGAAGGCCCGCGCTTGAGTTAAGCCGAGACCTGAGTCTGAGCCCTTTTGCTTTGCATTGTAGATGCGGCCCCGCTTGATTTGGGTCCCTGGTGTCAGCCAGAAGTATCCCACAGTTCCATGGAACAACTTCCTTAGTCCTCTCTGTCCTAACAATCTGCAGTCCCCACTCTGCTGAAAACAGAAGCCCTTTGCAAATGGCAGCAGCTTAGGTCAGCATTAACCCATTCTCTTCTGATCACTGATCTGCAAGCACACTATCAGAGAGTCTCCTGGATTTGCAATGGAGAGTGAACCGATCAATCCTTTTGCAAAGAGTGCTGCTTCCTGGTAATGTGCAGGGCAGGTAGTAAAGTTTTCCCACAGTGCACCACAGTTCTAGGGCTAGAGTAGCCACATTCTGGGGGGAAGGGAGGATGCTGGGATGTGGTTACTTTGTCTTGGGTCTGTGCACTGCAGTGTGGATGTCAGAGTCCAAGGTTAGAAGAGTCTTAACATAGGGTTAAAATACAACGTAGATGCTCAGCGCGGCACCGCCCCCATGGCCGCAATCTAATACAAATCAGCTGACTCAAGTCCCACTAACCCTGGGCTCATAGGTGAGATGGGGGCATGCGGGGTCAAGTGCCCCTGCCCGATTTCTGCTTGGCCTGGAGGGCAGAAGGGTAGAGGGAGAGGAGTTCTGTCCTTCTCCCACTGCGCCTGCCCCTCAGCACGCTCAGTCCCTGTCCCTGGCAGGCGGGGAGCAGAAGGGGCAGGACCAGCCACTTCTCACACCAGCTGCTCTGGGTCGCTGCTCTGTGCAGTGCAGCAGCTGCCTGAGAGCCTGGCTGGGGAGGTGGCAGCAGTGAGCCACCCTGCCTGCCCAGGCCTGGCTGCCGGGAACAGAGGCCGAGCGAGCTGGAAACATGCCAGGGGGAGAGGGGACTCTGGTTTGCTCGACCCCTGTCCCTGGTAGCCAAGCCTGGGCGGGCAGGGTGGCTCACCGCTGCCACCTCCCTAGCCAGGCTCTCTCTCAGGTAGCCACTTAGCTGCACAGAGTCAGCGACCCAGAGCAGCTAGCTTCAGCACATGAGAAGCGGCTCCATCCCATTCCCCGCCCGGGCCCAACTGCCAGGGAGAGCAGCCGAATGTGCCGGGGTGGAGGTGCAGCAGGAGAAGTACAGAGCACCTCCCACCCACAGGTAACTGTGGGGGGCAGAGAGAGTGTGGTGACCCCGGGCTGGGCGGGCGGGGGGAGGGCAGGTCGCTGGGCAGAGGAGACACATGGGACAATCACATGTCCTCCCCCTTTAGATTGTTCCCCCCAGTATCAGGAGGTACAGTAGCTCCTCACTTAACGTTGTAGTTATGTTCCTGAAAAATGCAACTTTAAGTGAAACGATGCTAAACTAATCCAATTTTCCCATGAGATTTAATGTAAATGAGGGGGGTTAGGTTCCAAGGAAATTTTTTTCGGGCAGACAAAAGGCTTTATATACTGTACAGTACAGTACTGTACTGTGGTGGGGAGGTGCCCCTGGCTTACCCCTGGGGCTCAGGGCTGGGGGTGCAGGGTCTGGGAGGGAGGTAGGGTGCGGGAGGGTGCTCAGGGCGGGGGGTGGGGGCTGGGACGGTGCTCAGGGTGGGGTGCAGGAGGAGGCTCAGGGCTGGGGCAGGCAGGAGGTGCAGAGCACTTACCTGGGGCAGCTCCTGTTTGGTGCAGGGGGTGTGCAGATGGCTCTGCGCAGCACGGCACCGCCCCCATGGCCGCGATTCTGGGAGCCACGATTTCCCCTTCAAAGCGCTGCTTCTCTCTGGCCGGCTTTGAAGGGGAAAGCGCCACTTCTCTCAGGCCGCTGGCTGCGCGGCTGTCCCTGCTCCTCCTGAGTCATCCGGCCTGTGCTCGCAGGGCCGCATTCCAAAAGGGGCTTTAGAGCTGCAGGCCGGGGCCCCCTTAGCCCAGAGCCCTGCAGCCCTTAAAGCCCCTGCGTTCTGGGTGGCCCTGCCTGCCGGGGGAGGGCGGGGGCGGGGCAGCTTCCCCACTCGCTCGCTGGCTCCCTCCCTCCCTCCCAGAAACTCCTAAGCACCGCCAAACAGCTGTTTGGCGGCAGGGGAAGCGCTGGGAGGGAGGGAGAAAGGGAGGGGGAGGAGGCGGAGAAGAGGAACTTGTGCAATGCTCCCTTGTAAAGTCAGCCAAACGACGTTATAAGGGAGCATTGCACAACTTTAAACGAGTATGTTCCCTAATGGAGCAGCGACGTAACTTTGAAACAACGTTAAGCGGGAGGACGTTAAGTGAGGAGTTACTGTATGAGTCGTCTATGCCTGGGCTTACATTGCAGTGTAGACATACCCTGAGTCCCCATGTTCATTGTAGGAAACAAAAAGCTTGCATTCTGTAGCCCTGCTTGTAATATGATTATTGTTATAGGCTTTATTATGTATTTATTTGTGTGCCATCAATGTACATGATGCTGTACAGAACAGAGAGGTAGAGACAGTCCCTATCCCGTTTTTGACTAACCAGACAATAAGGTGCAGACAAAAAGACACCAGAGAGCATCCAGAAGACAAAATGACAGTCCCTAGGCAGTGCAGTCAGGGCTTTGTATTTTAATATTATGGTATGATGTTTTAGTTGTAATTTGGCAGTTTCCAATGCTCAGTATTTTATAGATTTACACTTGAAAAGAGAACAAGTTCTTTAGAGTTTATTGCTCTGTAGATTCACATTTAACATTAGAGAAGGCAAATATTGGGGGAATTATTCAAATATTTTTGCTAATTTCTAATTACTTTTCCATTTGGCCATGTTAAATGTTCCATTTCTTGTACTCTGTTACTCTAGTATGAGCAGAGCATAAGCCCAGTTATTTGACCTATATTTAAATGAAGGTCAGTCACTTCTCTCAATAGCAATTCACACAGTATACTGCTCCTGTGGTTATCCCAAATGCCATTAACGGCAGGTTTCTGATCACTTGAACTCTTCGAAAGATTGGGGTTGTCATTTTATTTTGTTTTTGTTTTTCATGTTTATGCTGGTTTTGTTTAACCCTTGGCATGATACTGCTGATACTGGAAGGTATCCACAAACTAGCAGTCTTAAAGTTATTAAAGATAAATCCAACATGCTCATAACACTTGTAGTTCTGTATGATGATAATGGTTATAATGGAATCTCCTGTTTCAGGGCTTCGAGCAGAGGTTAGGAAGGAATTTTTTGCCCCAGTGCACAATTATAATCTCTGGGTTTTGAGTTTTGTTGTTGCCCCCCCCCCCCATTCTCCTTCCTCTAAAACATCAGAGCTCTGCCATGGCTAGTGAGGGTGGGCTAGGCCAGTGGTATGAGGCGGTACAGAAAATCCTCTGTTTTAGATGGCTGGCTGGTGTGTCTTGCTCACATGCTCAGGATCTAACTGATTGCCAGATTTGGGATCAGAAAGGAATTTCCCCAGGTTAGATTGTCAGGGACCTTGGCTATGTTTCATCTTCCTCTACAGTGTGGGTTGTGAATTGTCTGCTAGGATCATCTGGGTATATTTCATCTACTCAATTCCTGGCCGTCATAGGGCTTCGGGCATTGGTTGTGCCTCAGTCTTTCCTTTTCTCTGCCTGTGGTACACATCAGTATACTTTCCTGAGGAGTAAAATGTTTTGGTTTAACTGAAGTCATTAGGCTCAATTTAGGTGGAATTTAATGGCATGTGATATACAGGAGGTCAGACTAGATGATCTAATGATTTCTTCTGGCCTGAAGCTCTATGAAACTATTTATCTAAGGTCTTCACATAGCTTCCATTGCCATAGTACCTGAGTGAGTCACAATCTTTAATGTATTCATCCTCACAACACTCCTGTGAGGTAGGGAAGTGTTGTTATCCCCATTTTACAGACGGGGAAGTGAGGCACAGAGAGACTAGTTGATTTCCCCAAAGACACACCAGAAACCTGTAGCTGAGCAGGGAATTGAATCCTAGTCTCCTGAGTCCCAAGCTAGTGCTCTAACCATTGGATCATCTTGGATATTTGTTTGTGTGGTTCCTTTTTACCTGGTAGCAACACTATGTGTAGAGTGAAAATAAGCATGATTCTACATGCATTAGAAACAGATGTCTTAGGTTTTGGACATTGGCTTCAGATTGCTTGCTTTAATGGTATGTTAGATAAGTTGTGTACTTCCATCTCCACTGTTTGTTATAAGAATCACCTTAAATCAATTCCTTATCCACATACAGTATAAATGCACAGGGACAGAGTTGCTTTCAGGAGTGTCTTTGCTTACAATTTATCTGTCTAGTTAGATAATGTTTGCAGCTTGTCCTTGACAAAACGTGGTTAAAGTATCACATTTTTATCATCCCCAATCTACATAGTCAGGGAAGCTACCGACTAAACATTGTGGTTGCAATGTCTGCCTCGGGTAGTGGTAGTAGAAACCAGAAAAGCAATTTCCTGTCTAACAAGGTTATGTAGAG